CCCCGACACTACACCCTCAAAAGTACCTTTATACTATCCCTTAAAGGAACCCTTTAAAGGAACGCTAAATTCTATTCATATTAAGACCCCCAGACCGCCGGAGCCCTAAGCCCTGCCAAACTGGCCGCGCCTCTCTGGTTCGCCTGGCGCTCCTTCGGTCGATTTGCCAAAAGTTGAGACCCAAGAGTAACCCAGGAACAAAAAGGGTGCCCTTTCTGGTGTAAAGAGGCTTATAAGGGAACCTGATGGAACCTGAACCCTAAAAAAAATTATAATAGTGGCCTACTCCTCTAGGTCCTAGAAGTTGAGAGCTGTTCTAACACGCCCCTTGAGTCTTTGCTTACCTTTGGTTAGTAGGGAATGGAAGAATGGTAGTAATAGTAGTTATACTTGTACCCCATTCCTCCATTCCCTACTAACCAAAGGTAAGTTGAGTTGAGTCTTTGAAAGATGAAGGCGATGCAAGAAGGAATTCTACCTCTAAAATCCGCGTGAAAGCGTATGAAGCACGGCGTAAGCTACCCGTACCCAGAGGAAGGCATCGAGTCTGTTCCTCCCTTGAGCCTTCGCTTCAGCCCCGAAAAATCTGGAATCCAGTTTAAGGGAATTACAAAAATCATCGAACCCCCCAAAACAGCGGCCTAAGCAGCTCGGACGAAACTTGATGCGTAGAATGCTGAACAAAACTGCAGTCACCATACAAGTTTAAAGCAAATCAAGGAAAAGATCCGAGGGCTCCATTTTCCTAGTGGGTTTTGGACTGGAAGCCATTACGAAGCCTTGCACTCTGAAAAACCCTAACATCCTAAACATCTAAAACCCCAAACCACGTTTCCCCCCCCCCCCCCGACACGCCCTTCGGGGCATCCTGGATCGCCATCCGGATGGACCGCGCGACGCGGGACGTCGAGGCGAAGCGGGCGTCACGCCACTTGCGGATGATGGCGTAGCCCTGAGTGGTCGGAGGCCGTCGGGGCCAAGGGGTCACTAGCGTTCACTTCTTGTGATCTTCAGACTTCGGGGCTGCAAAATCTTCAGCATTGCAGGCCTACCAAAAGATGTTCCGAACCTACTGTGCTGATTCTCCCCTATGCCGTGTTTATTAGAATGAGGTCCTGCGCTACGGGATCTTGCAATCCGGTTAGCAGCGCCAGCTGCAACTGAGTTAACGCTTCACATTCACGGCCTTTGCCTACGAGATAAAGTTGGAAGGAAAGGCTTTGGGTGTTTTTGGAATTGTTCGCGTCGAAGGTAAGCTTTCAATGGTCACGGTACTGTCAAAACATACTCCTAAAACGGGCTGAAAACAAGACTGCCGCGAAGCTGCAAGAGTACGGCCCTCCATGTGCCAAACATGTGCTTGCATTTTGGACATGGTTTGGGCTAGCGGAGCACTCCGACACAGAAAAACCCGTTGCTTCGAGAATCGGGGAAAGTTTCCTGATATTCTTTTGCGATTTGAGGGCTTCGCATGGCTTGGCTCTGGAACAGCACTGCGTCCCATGTTCTAAACAACTTTATAAGTTGTCTAGGAACATGGGATTTTGGTTTACTCAACACCGCATGCCACAAGGATGCTGGAAACCGACCAAGGCACATCGTGAGGCTGCGTTTTCCTGTAGTCGTTAAAGCCTGGCCAAGACGCTAAACATGTAGCGTAATTCGTGTCTTAAAGTTTAAGGAGTTCTGTATTGTGAGGGTATTGAACGCAGAGGAGTTTAGGGGTTTGGAGTGGGATATATGGGTCCTTTTTCGGGGTTCCTTTCATGAGGCTGCCGTACTATTCTTGGGATTCAAAGGTGCCTTAGTTCAGAGAACTACCCATACTGTGTTTGGCTTTTCTCTCTGACCTGTGCTGCACGGCCTAAACTTCTTACTAAGCTGGATGATTGAACACCTGACCCGGATCGTAAACCCGGCTCGCGCAAAGCTTGCCTTCACATCACCAAGTTTCTGGGCCCAGAGGATGCATATTCCATGCTTGCAATCCCGTGCTCTTGGATCTTGGCATCGAAATCCTGGAGCCCATATTTCGACGTCTCAAAGCAGTGTTCATGTTAACAAAAATCGGATACGACGGAAAATAATGTACTGCAAGACACGGCCATTCCGAATTTCAATCCCGAAACCTTTCAGAAGGAGGCGACCACACGGGTGGAAGCTTTGGCGGTTCAGCATTTTCGGGGTGCAGAAGGCAAAGCTGCCAAGCCGCTGATGCGAGGCTTGAACCGGGAATCTGGGTTCGTGGGCGAAGCCGAATCCACAAACCGAATTCCGAAATCCGATGTTTTTGGCCGCCGAGTGCAAGCTCGAGGGTGTGAATCGATCGCGAGGCCGGCGGCTCCAAGAGGGCTCCCGCATGGAACTCTGCTACACACAATCTGGGGATTTAGGGTTTATAGGGCTTAAAGTATGTGGGGGCTTTAGGCTAAGTATGCTGCAATGTAAGGCGTTTAACGTTTCGAGCAATAGTCCTCTGAGGGATACTTCATGATTCTACTAACATGTTCCCCCAAAGCCCTGTTCGATGTATTCAAGAAGTCTATGAAGAGTTCTACCATTATGGTCCCGCGAAGGACCTTCATGAAACAATACCGAAACTTGATGAAGCAGCTCTAATCCCTAAGCCCCTGGCGTGCTAACCCCTGATTCTTAAACCTCTACACCCAAGCCGTAATCCGCCAAAACGCCATTGTGGATGGAATGGAGCTCCGGGTTGAGACACCCTGATCAAAGCTAAGCCCAAAGGGTCGTAAGAACTCTACAATGCCCTAGCTTCTATATTTCCTTCGTGGCTGTTTGCTCTTTGGGCACGGCGAAGGCTTCCGAAGCTCCGCACACCACCCAAGTAGCACCGCAGAAGGTTGGCCTGAGGCCGCTGGGAGCCTCTTGCCAAGCATCAACCTGACAGGGTTGTGCTTTGGCCGCTATGGCAAAACATTCCCGCAAGCGATCGTCCGTTGCTCGCCTGTAGGCGCTGCCCGTGGATGCATTGGCCCTGCAAAGCTTGCACTGAGGCAGCTACCTGCCGAAGAGCTGCAGCGCAGGGATGCCAGCTAAGTTTGAGCAAATACAATCGTTGATGGCTTGGCCTTGCAAAGACTGCATGGCGGATGTATTTTGTGCGATCCCGGCGCGGCTCCTGGGCATACCCAAATATACGTACTGCAGCTTTACCCTTCAGAACAGGAAGCAAAAATCCAGTTTCACACAGCGGGGAGGGGGGAACCGGTTCGGCAGAGGACCGCGCGCAGGAATCTCCTTCTTGTCACCAAAGGCCTCCGCGAAGAGACCGCATGAAGTCTGCCTAAGCCTAGACTTGGACTGCAAGTTCGCAGCCGCTCTTTGCGCCTGGGCAGCGGGTGATGCAGCCTGGATGGTCATCTTGCCCAGCCAAATACATCTGCCTAGAGTCTCCATCCTCAGCCGAGGGAGCCGGCGGAGCCTGTCAGCCAAAAGCCGGAAAAAAGCCCGCGAAGAAGTCTCGACTGCCTGAATGGGAGCCGGCGGAGACTTCTGAGTCTGCCAAACATCGACCTGACAGGGCTGAGCTCAAACGCTAAGGATCGTCCGCTTTTTGATCGTGTGAGTTGGGCACAATGTCGGTTGGCCCTTGATCTCTTGGCCCTGCAAAGCCTGCCACCTGCCGAAGAGCTCTAGCGTGGGGATGCTAGCTGAGCAAATCTGAACAAACACGAGCGCTCCTCTTCGGCGGAATAGTAGGCGATCATCCCAGTGCCCTTGCCTGCTCACTGGTCCGCTGTTTGATCTTATGAGTTGGGCACAATGCTAGCCTCCAACGGTTGGCCATTGACGGCTTGGCCTTGCAAAGACTGCATCCTTGCAACACGCCGGAGCCAGTCCTGCAGACCAAGTCCGCAAGGTCCGCAGACAGCGTGATAACACGATGAGGCCCTTAGGCTGGGCGTAAAGGGATTCGGTTAGTGTCGCGCGTATGTCAGCACTGCCACCTGCAGACAGCTTGCAGGAAAACATGGTAAAATGAAGATGATTGAGAATCCACCAGAACGAAGAGACACCCAACAGTAACAATTTGGAAGAACAGACCCACATGAAAAGTCGAAATTACTGGCTGCTAAATGGGATAAACGAACCAGAGAAAACCTTGGAAACACAAGAGCATCAAAGACAACCTTTCGCTTACCGAGGGCAAACAGTTTAAACTGTGTGGGAGTGTAGGCAAGCTAAAACTTCTGTAGATCACTCAAAACGATGGGCATGATCCCGTGCACACCCCAAACCGCTGTGGACCGGCTTGCCAAAATCCGAGACTGCCCAAAACAAAGGCTCTGCGCGCGCATCCTAAACCGACGCTGCCATACCTTCAATCTGAGACCGGAGTCTACTGTTCTCGCATGCGCATGAGGGCGGCGGGGCCGGAGTCGTGCCGAGGGCCGGGGCGGGCGCGCGGGGCGGGGGTGAACCTACAAGAAACCTAACAGGAAACCTCACAACACCCAGACCCTCACAAAACACCTCACGGGAAACCGCACGGTGAACCTCACAGACAGCCTCACAGGACTTCCTTGACGACACAGCCTCTCTTACAGGAAAACTCGCAGGATTCCAGGACTAGAAAGTTACAACTCTACAGCCGACTCACACCAAAACCCTAAATCTTGCAGGCTCTTCATCACTGAGGCCCTGCATTGCAACCCCTATAACCCCTAGTAGAAACCTCTAAGCCTCAAACCCCAAATTAGTGTAAGCCCTAAACCCTAAACCCGAAACCCTTTTGAAGGATCGCTGATAGGACCCTTTAAAGGGAGCTCTTAAAGGAAACCTTCAAGGACCCCCGAAAAGGAGACCATGGGATCCTTAAACTCCCTAAACCCCAAGTCCTGAACCCTCCTTCAAAGGGAACCCTCGTAATGGGTTTAGGGTTTAGGGTTAGGTAACCCTAGATAACCCTAGAGTGCCCTTTAAAGAGCCCTCTCAAGGGATCCCGGAGTCTCTGGCCACTTGGGGTCCCTAGGCCCCTAGGCATCTCTCACGGCCGCGGCTTCTCGCTCGGCTTCGGGCGCCGCCTTCGGCTTGGCAGCGAAGACGTCCTGGAATTGGGCTTCGAATCTGTAGGGCTACGAACCCATGAACACGAAACTGAGGAACTGTCAGGAATGGTAATGGGCATTCTTCGGGCTTCTACATGTGGGTCTACGGTTTAAGTTCTCCTTGCGTGGCAAGTGCTTGAGTCGTCTTGCTTGGTGAAGTCTGCGGTTTCGGCGCACAGGGGGACTTCACTTTTCAAGTCTCAACCCCAAAAGCCCTACAGCCACCAAAAAACGCAACGAAACCCAAAAGCCCGAACTCACCAAAATGAAATCCGCAGCCCCGGCAACCGAGAGGGTCCAATATCCCTTAATCGAGGAAGATTCCTCAAATCATATTAGGGATATCCCTTAATCGAGGAATATTGCTTAAATCATATTAGGGACCCCACCATAATTTAAGGTATATTCATTTATTCAGAGAGACCTCGTCGTCATCCGTGAAGAGTGCCACCGGTGGCGAAGGCTTCTTGGGCGCCGCGAGCTCGGCGGTGCTGAAAAGGGAGCCTCCCGGAGTCTTTATGAGGGTTCCTTTAAGGGCCCCTTTAAAGAGATCTATGGGTTTCTATAAAGGCCCCCCTTAAAGAGATCTATAGGGATTCTGCAAGGGTCCCCTTTAAGGAGATCTATAGGGATTCTACGAGGGTATAGGGTTTAGGGCCTACTTCGAGGTTCATGGAAAAGGGAGCCTCAAGGAGACTCTTGCGGGCTTCTCAGGGCTTCAGGTACCCATACTAACAACGATACCAATACTAACAATAATAATAATCAGAACAAAAAATTAAGAATACTAATACGAAACATAACAGTTATGAGTTATGAGTATAACAAAATTAGCAGTAATATTATTTCTAGCTTAATGGTAAAAATTTCCCTGGTCTTTTTCGTTACTGTGGTGTTTTCTTTTGTTGCTACTAGTAGTGGAAGTAGTAGTACTACGTCGTGCTTCGGAGTTTGAGCCTCTGAAGGTTTTCGGGTTCGGGGCTTCTAGCCGTTCGGTTCATGCCACTGGGGAGTTTCAGGATTGTTCGGACTGGATGACTTACTCATCTTAGCTTGAGGGGCTTCGAACCCTGTGCTTGAGGGAGTTTTGGCTCAGGCTTTAAACTTCAGGCTGCAAAGGTTTCGGGCTTCAGACCTCGGTGATCTTCCTGCGTTGTCGCTTGGGGGAAAGGCTCTGACACCTCGTGCCTGGAAGCCCTCCTGAAGCCTCGAGATCTGGGACTTCTAGATTCGCCTCTCTGTCTCCGTCCTTGAACACAACAATAGTCCACGACGTCATGACCCCAACGGCAGTCATGGCATGGCTACACTAGACCCTAAACACTAAAACCCCTAAACTGCAATGCTAAAGGGTTTTAGCATAAGTTAGCTCGGGCACTTGAACTTCAAGTAGGGCTAACCACAAAAAAAAACTTAAACCCTGAGCCCGGGCCCGCCACCTTCCTTTGGCGGGGCGCTGGGCTCGGGCGACGGCGCCGCCGGCACGGCCTCCACCTCGGCATTCACCGGCGAGGGCTCCGCAAGGCTCCTGGGAAGAGGAAATTTAGGGTTTAGGGGTTTCTTTTAGAAGGTACTATAGGGTTCTATAACAGGGTCCTTTTTAAGGGTTTAAGGTTCCTTAAAAGAATCTTCAAGGTTTAAGGTTTAGGGTTGCAGAGGGTTCGGTGGTTTAGGGCTTGGGGTAGGGTAGGGTTTGGGGTTGAGGCTTTAGGGTTTGGGCAGGGGAGGGCTACATCGCTTTCTGTAAGGGCTTTACGCGGCATTTTTGAATTACATGGTTGCACATGGTTTGTCAGCTGCTTTTTGCCAGACTGACATGAGAGCTTCCGAAAATAGGGGACCCTAGTATAGCACCCTAAATAGTATAGAATCCTTATCATAAGGACCCCCCAAATAAGGTAACCCTAATTTTTGGAAACTCCCAGATGGGTGTTAGGTTCAGGGGTCTAGGTCTTGAATGATCGGGCTAACGAGCTAGGGATGAGGTCTGGAGGCTGGGGTTTAGTAGGAGCTAGGATTTGGGGTCTCGAACTCGGGGTTTAAGGTTCCAACAGCGCGGAGGCTATGAGGTTTAAGGCTCCTGGTTTAGGGTTTAGGGTTTGGGGTTTAGGGCTTGGGGTTTGGGGTTTAGGGTTTAGGGTCTGGGGTTTAGGGTTTAGGGTTTCTCTCTGGCTGTTGAGTTCTGAGGTCTCGTTGGGGGCTCAGGGTCCTGAGGTCCTGAAGCCTGGACCCACCCAAGACCATACAGAGACCCGTGAAGAAACCCTCTGTCGCCCATGCATGACACCAAAACTGTGAGACAGTGGAAGGTTTGCCAGTGCGCAGACACAATCAGGGTTTAGAAACCAAACACCTGCAGGGAACTTAAAGCAAACCTTCGCGATTCCAACGGAAGCCTTCTGAAAGCCCTTCTAACTTCTAAGCCTTGATTTGCAGACCTTGTGGAACCGCAATGAAACCTGCATGGAACCCGTCTGGAACCTACATAAAAAACCTCTCCTAGAACCCTCACGCAGCCCTGCAAAACCCGAGAACCCTCAACCCTAAACCCTAACCCCTTCCAGACCGCTATCGAACCGTTAAAGCTCCCTGTAAGGAAGCCCTGAACTTACAGCAACTTTCGTCAGTAACCATTGAAAGGAACCCGAAAACTCTAAACCCCAAACTTCAAAAACCCTAAATCCTTTCACAAAATGGAAAAAGGATACGACAATAGGGTCCCCATTCAGGGTAGTATAGGGTGCCAGAATAGGGTCCTCTTTCAGGGTAGCATAGGGTACTGGAATCGGGTCGCGTTTCAGGGAACCCCTTAAAAAGACCCCTTTAAGGAGCCTCTATAAAATCGCTTAAAGCTCCCCTTTAAAGCAAGCCCGACTACAGATCCCTTTAAGGGTCCTCTTTAAGGGACCCTATAGATCCCTTAAGGGAGCCCTGAACCTTCTCGGGAAGCACTGGCCGAGCTTCGGCGGGGCGCTGCCGGCCGAGGCCGAGGCCGAGGCGGTGCTCGCCGGGCCCAGGAAGGTCGGGGCGAAAGGATCCTCCGCCGCCTCGGACTTCCTGAGCTCTTCGGGGGTGTTGAAGGGCTCCTTTAAGGTCACAGGCACAAAAAAAACCTGGAGACTAAACGCATGCGACGTGCTTTTCGTTCGGGTTTTGGGCACTTCGTGTTCGGAACTCGGTGGCTAAGCTGACAACCAGAGAGTTAGGAAAGCATAGGGCAGTGTCCGAACATCCACAAAAACCGTTGTTTTGTGCACATACGATGATATTTAGGCTAAAAACCTGGAAATCAGAACAGCAGGACGAACTAGGAAATGTCAGCCCTAGCCTGAATGAAGTCTTGCGTAAGCGGTCTGAACACGAACTCAGAGAGGTATCTAAAGAGATCTGGATTTGCCTCACATGGGGCTTGTCATAGTTGGCCCTGGATGCTCACGGTTGACCCACAGATGCTATTGGGGGACGGATGAGGTCTGCGTGGAGGTTATCCTGGGCTTGGACTGGGAAGAGTGAGGTCTGGACGGACGTTGTTGTGGGTTTGGCCCACGGATGCTCCGGGGAACGGGTAAGGTCTTGGTGGACGCTATCACGGTTTGGCCCATGGACGCCCTGGGGAAAGCATGAGGCCTGGATGGGATAATGTCACGGTAGACCACTGGATGCTCTGGGCAAAGGATGAGGTCTGGGTGGTTGATACCAGGGTTGACCCATGCGTGCACTGGGGAGCAAATGTGTGGTCGAGGTGGACGTTGTCATGGTTGACCTATGAATGTTCTGGGGACGGATAAGGTCTTGGTGGACGTTATCATGGTTTTGGCCCATGGATGCTCTGGGGAGCGGATGAGGTCTGGGCTGATGTTATATGGTTTCCCCATGGATGCTCCTGGCAAGCAGGAAACTACCAGGTTTTTTATGCGCCTGTTTCCGCCTTTAAGGGTTCCTTTAAGGGCTTTAGGGTTTAGGGGTTTAGGGTTTAGGGGTTTGAGGGTTCAGGGTTTAGGGTTTAGGGCTGGTTAAAGCTTTCAGGGCTTCTACAAGGGTTTACGTACCATAAGGGTACCATAAGGGCTTCTACAAGGGATTGTTTGAGGGTTCCTTGAAGGGATTTCCAGGGAACTACGTCGCCTAGGGTTTGAGGGTTTAGGAGTTTAGGGTTCAGGGGTGTTTAGGGGTTGGTTTTAAGAGATCTTAAGGGAACTATGAGGGTACGTACTATAAGGTTTACAGGTTCCTTCCTGAGGGTTCCTCCAAGCGGATCTAGGGGGGTTAGACTCTAGGCTTCAGTTAAAGGCTTACCTTTAAGTACAAGGCTTGCGATCAGGGTTACTACCTACTCGGTTTAGGGCTTTGAGGTCTAGAGTTGGTTTCAGTTCGCGATTGGGTTTCTTTAATGGCTTAGGGTTTTGGGATTTGGAGTTTCGGCCTGCCTTGGGGTTGCTTCGAAAGGCTACTTGGAGTTTAATGGGTAGTTATATCTGGAGTTATAAGTCGGGAAACTATTATTACAACTCCTATTGGGGGGCTTATAACCCCACTTTATAACTACCCATGAACCTCCAAGTGGGGTTCCTTTGAAAGGCTAGTGGAAGGGTTACGATAAGTGTGGGGGTGCAGGGTTCAGGCAACGAGTTCTATAGGATCAATGAGGGTTTGGGATTTTGAGGTTTGGGCTGTAGGGCTTGGGGTTCACGGGTTCCTTAACAGGCTACTGTACAGGCTACTATAAGTCTATGGTTCGCTGAAAGAGATCTATATGGGTTTAGGGCTAGGGTTTTAAGGCTTGGGGTTTAGTGCTTTGGGTTCAACGAAGGTTTTATATGGCTTCAAGTATGGGTTAGGATAGCTCGTTTTGAATTTGGCGGTTGTTGGTGCTAGTCGTTTCTCAATCAGGCCTTCATCAGCTGTTGATGAAAGGGCTTTTCCATGTGGGCACAAAAGAATGACAAGAAGGCGTTCTTAACGGGTTGATGGGCGGCTCCAGCGTGCGATATGGGAGTTTCCGGAAATAGGGGTTCCTTATTTGCGGGGTCCTTATAATGAGGATCCTACTATTTAGGGTACTATATTAGGGTCCCAGAATTTTCGGAAACTCTCATATGTTGTTTGGTAACCTTGTATGGGGCTTCGAAGGCTGCTCCTCCGCTTTATCCTTCAAGCGCAAGTTTCACTGAACGAGTTTCAAACCCTAAACCCTGGCCCCTGATGGTAATGTCCCGTCGGGCTCCGTAATGTTGTCTGGGGTTCCGTCATGCTGCACCATTGTGAACCCGAAAACCCTACTGAGAGTTTCGATACTACACGAATCCGGAGTGCCTAAATAATTAGAATAGGGTTTTGTGGTATAGTGTAGTATACTGTAACTATAGTAAGGAAACCCCAAAATAGTCTCGGTCCCGGTAATTATGAAGGCCCCTATAGTACTTCTCCTGATCCTTCCAGCCGAAGCTCTTCGTCGGCGAGGGCGGCTCGCCTCCTGCGGCGGCCCCTCGTGGGTGAAAGCGGAACCAATAGGCCTTGTGCTCGGAGGAGCTTCAACCCTGCACTTTACATAGAAGCTTTACCAATATTGTTCCATATTTGTCCTGATTCCAATTCGACGATATACCGCAAAACCCCCATCCTGATTATTGCAGGCTCGAGCTTTCGTATTTTACTAGCTACGGCTTGCAAACTCCGAACTGGGGCATTGGCTTGCACCTTGCACTGATGACAACCAGCGAGCTATCCTTTCCGAGACAATGCCCAAGCTTTCAACGCCCCCTTACGCCCCAAAGCCTCAGAAATCTCTGCTACCCTAAACCCGAAACCCTAAATCCCAACAACTAAACCCTAAACCCTAAACCTTACGCCCCAAAGCCCATCTTAGGGGTTCCTTAGAATAAGTATCGTATAAACCTTAATATAAGTATGTATAGCATTAAATCCTACTTCCAGTTGTTCCTGCTCATAGTGACTGCTGCTGCTACCTTACGATGACATGCCCCCCGTGCTTTTATACTCTAGATCGCAACATCCCACTCCGCCGGGAAGCTTCCCAGATGGTGTAGTTGGCCTGCCGGCTGCAGCGAGGCAATGGTGATAGGATTCAGGGTTTGCGGTTCAGAGTGCAAGGTGCAGGCATGAGGCCTTTAGGGTTTAGGGTTCTTGGACAAACAGCACGGTCAGTGACGCATCAGTCTGAAATCATAATATTGGCAAAACCTTCAAACACACATCATCACAGCCCGAGTAATACCCCTGCGTCGCCGTGCTTCGCGCGGCTTGGGGCTGGGGAACATAAAGCGTTGGATGTTGGGAAGCTCCGAAGCTCTTCATACACTAAACCTCATACCCGAAACGCTACATCCACAATACCCTCACCCCTCATCCCCAAACACCCGGAACCCGTTTTGCCACTCCCGGGAGCCCAAACCCTCAATGGTCTGGGGTTTAGGATGCGCTATGCGTGATAAGAAGCCGAGATATGGTTGTTGATATTGAAGAGTGTTTATAGGGTGTATAGGATTCAAGAGTTTCGTGAGGATGAGGGCGGAGGGTGCGCGGGATATGGGTGGATTTCAATTCAAGGTTTCCAATGGTGGCTGTCGAAGGTCGGAGAAACCAAGTTTGCGACAGTTCCAAAAGATTGAAATGGGAAACTTTCAACTATCTTCAGCCTATACCGTAAGCCGTCACACCCGGAATTTCTAGACCAGATCGCCTGGCAGAGGCTGGGCAGCATCTGTGTCCGCCCGGGGCGGTACGAGGTGCTCCGCCACATTTCCTGGTCGCAACGCTCGTGTTTCAGGTTCTCACCGACTTGAGTATTCCAACGGTTCAGAAAGAGGCATGAGCGTTTTCGGAAGAACAGAAGCCATTCGCCAAACTGCGAATGATGTTTGGTACTGGAACAAAGCAGTCGCACCTCGACTGCTCGCGGCCGTTACTGCCGACTTGCTCTTCGTCGTGATGCGTCACCCGTCTCTGTCGGAGTTCGGCTGAATCCCGATGTCATGTGGTTTGGGTTGGGTGGTAGGGCTGAGGGTATGTAGGGCCGAAATATGGTGGAGGAGGAGGAGGAGGAGGATTCTGCTCAAACTCTGCAGACCTCAAACTGCTAGACCTCAACAGCCCCGAATCCCTAAGCCGACACCCCCAGAACCAAGACGAAACCGCAGAGCCTGAACCACCCTGCACCCCAAAGTCCTGAACCCTAAACCCCAAAGCCACAAACCCCACACCCCAAAGCCCGTGAACCCCGAACCCCTTTGTGAGGAGGACCAAGCTTCTCTCTCGTCGAGGAGCGTCGTCCACAGCGACCTCAAAATGGTTCAAAGGATGAGCTGCGTGTAAAGGGATGATCGGGCTTAGGGGTAAGGTACGGGGTTTGGGGATTCGGGATTGGTCTCAGTTCCGACTTGCCGATGAAGGACTACTGTGAACTTTGAAAGATGGAGTTTAAAGTCTAAGGGCAGCCTGAATAATCCCTGGCGTTGAACCCCAGACCCTTAACCCTAAGCCCCAAAGTTTTCGCTGCAAGCGCAAGCTCGACAACTGCTTCGGGGAGTGGCATAAACGCGTACGTAAAGCCTGGGTGCAGCTGGGTGAGCGTCATGCCTGCCGGCACCCTTTCCAGGGTACTGAAAGGAAGGGTTTTGAAAGAAAACACGAAGATGTCAACAAGGATACCCCCTCCACTTGGGAGGCTCTTTGCGGACGGAATTTGGATACTCTCAGACGAATCTGGGCGTTCGTTCCTGGCTCGATCCTAACTTCCCCTGGGCAGACGAAGCGCTTAACCCTGGGTGGGGTAGGCGGGCGGCCTGGGTGTGCTTCACACACCAGCAACATGACCACACCCTAGACCTTGGGACATAAGCTACTCTGCCTTTCACATGTCGATGACGTCGCCAAAAACACTAAAGCCTAGACCCCAACACAAAAAGGTTCGCGGTTAAGGGCCTCGGATTGGATTTTACCCGCTTTAGGTCCAATCTGCCAGTCCATGACAGTAGGGCTTTATAAGGGTTTTATTCTGGTCTTGGCTTATGTAAAGTTAGACTTCAGGGCATCAGCGTCAGGGCTCAGGGCTTAGGGCTCTGCGGCAATGAACTGTAAATCAGCATATCGCAGGCTCTCAAACCAATTTGCGGAGGATTCCTTCGAAGCCTTTGTAAAACCTGGCAACGCCCAATAGAACTTCTAGATTCCTTCAAAATCCTATAACTCTTGGAAATCCTGTACCATAATTATAATCAGGAACCCCCAAAATAATAGAGGTGTAATCAGGAAGGCCCCTATCCTAAATCCTTATAATAGCCCATTATAGTAGCCTCGTGTAGTAGCCCCTTTAAAGGAAACCTGTTCTAATTTTGAAGGCCCCTGTATTAGATTCCTTGTTGACGAGGTCCTGGGACCTGGTTTCTGCCCAGGTGCAGCGTCTGCTTCTCGACTTTCCGTCGCTCCTGCTCGTTGTCGCAGAAGAAGGTGCCGTAGCGGTTGCTAAAGACCTGCTTGTTGAGGGTTTAAGGTTATACCATATACGTATCTTTACTTCATGATTATTACTATTGCTGCGACTATTGTGATTGTCTTTACTATATGTTGCTATTACTACCTATTCTTGTTATTATTGCTATTATTGTTACCATTGTTAAGGGTCTAGGCTTTCAGGCCTCGGTTCAGGGTCTTGGGGTTTCGTGGTTCAGGGGTCATCCAGAATGCCCCGAGCATCTTGGCGGAGCCTCCAATCAAAGCCTTGCCATTCAGAGCGAGATCGGAAATTCGCCACGGATGCTGGCTCGGGGTTGAGCGATTCAGGGTGGCGTAAGGTTGAGGGTTTAGGAGTTAAGATTCAGGGGTGAGTTCCCCGCAGCCCAATGTACCAAAAGGCTCATGGGTCGGCTTCCCATTGCGCCAAAGCCGCCTCGTCCGCGAGTCGAATCAGCACGGGCGGTGCGAACTCGAAGGTGTCCGGGAATTGCTGCTGGAGTTGAAACCTCAGGCTTTGGACCAAGGAGTTTTGACCGAAGACGACGGGTCGCGGCCGAATCTACAAAAAACTATAAGTTACCTACACTGTTTTGGGGGGCTCCTTATTTTAATAAGAGTATAATGGGCCCCAAAACCCTATTCTAATTGTTAAGGCCCCTATGCTATTGCAAAGGGGAGCAGGAAGCTCGAAGGTAGCGAATCCGAAGCTTGAAAAACCAAGGCTGGACGCCAAGGGCTCCTTTAAGAGCTTTTTCAAGGGCTCCCTCAAGGGCACTTTGAAGGGTGTCCTTTATAGGGTTCTTTCCGGTTCGGCTAGTACCAACAGTTCGTATGTCAGCCTCGGGCCGGATTCCAAGACTATTTTCCGATATAGGTTCAGATACGGGTTTGAATACGAATCGGCAATACGGGTTGGAATACCAATACAGGTTCAAGATCGGTTTCAATACGGGCTGGCATACGAATTGGGCTGGACGGAATACGGTTTGAATACGGGTTTGAATACGGGTTCCAATACGGGTTCCAATACGGGTTCCAATACAGGTTCCAATACGGGTTCCAATACGGGTTCCAATACGGGTTCCAATACGGTCCAACGAGGGTGGGTTGGCGGGGTGGCGGGGCGGGGCGGGTAGGGCTGGGTGGGGCTGGGGCTGGAAGCCTCCCCAAGATCTGAGTCCTAGGAGAAACGTTTCCATATTTCTATTATAGATCCTATGCAAACCCCTGTCCCGAATTCGTAGGCCTATTCAGAACCGTATCCAAACCCGTATTGAAACCGGTATTCAAACCCGTATAAGATTTCCTAGGCGTATTTAGAAACGTATCCAAACCCGTATTCAAACCCATATCCAGACCCGTATCCGAATGTGTATTAACACCGAATTGAAAACCGTATCGTAGTTGTACAACCGTATCTACAAATCGTATTCAAACCGTATTGCACACCATATTGGGAAATTACAGGCCGGAATGCCTTGCCAAGCAATAAACGAACTCTTGGGCCTAGTACCACAATAGGACTTGAACTTGAGTTACCTAGATCCCTGACCCCTAAACCCTGAACCCCACTAGGGTATCTTAAAGAAATTCCTCAACAACCCAGCTCGGATCTTTGTCGGGGGGGGGAGGGGTTACGCTTTAGGCCTGCTGAAGATCTGTGGCTTCGTTTGAAGCCTTAGGGTTTAGGGCTTAGGGCTTATAGAGTTGAGGGTTTAGGGTTTAGGGTTTAGGGTTTAGGGTTTAGGGCTTAGGGTTTAGGGTTTAGGGTTTAGGGTTTAGGGTTGAGGGTTTAGGGTTTAGGGTTGAGGGTTTACAAGCTTTAGGGGGGCTCTGAGTGCAGCGTTTAAGGTTTCGCGTGCTACTTGTAAAATGCAACAGGCGCTCGCAAAGTAGTATAGGTAGTTTTTAAGGCCCCTAATGGGAGTTTCCGAGAATACGGAACCGCAATATAGTACCCTAAATAGTAGGATCCTTATTATAAGTACCGCCAAAATAAGGTACCCCTACTTGTCGGAAACCCTAAACCCTGATAGAGCCCTTCAAAGGAACCCTTATAGAATCAGGGTCCCTTACTTTTCGGAAGCTCCACTACACTACTTGAGCAGAGCAACACGCACTCCAACCACTGGATGAAGACCGGGCTGTACTCAGCAGTAGGCTGCTCACCTCAGGGTTTAGGGTTTAGGATTTCGGGTTTAAGGCTTCGAGTTTAGGGTTTACGGTTTCGAGTTTAATTTTTTTTGAGCTCCTTTTCTCCGATGCCCAAAAGGTCCCGAGTTTAGGATTTAGGGCTGAAGCTGAGCGGAGAACCGTCCGAAGTCCAGCTTCAGAAAACAAGGCAGCATAGTAACGTAGGGGCCTTGATAATTGGAATAGGGTTTTGGGGCGCCTTATGGTATATTTATAGAAAGGAACCCCCAAAATAATTAGGTAATTATTAAGGCACCTATATTGTAGAACCCCAAACAAAAAGACTCTTACGAAAAGGATCTCCCACAAATCCAAATCCAGCTTGGGCGCCTATGGCCAAACGTGTGCGGAAGCGGTGGCCAAAGGAGCACCACTCCTGATCGCCGAAACTGAGTTTAGGTTTCCAGCATGGGACGGGCTGAGGCCTAGGCGAAAAACTTCATGGGGCTTACACGACCTTAGCAATCCTTGCTGGCATGACGTCTCTTAACCTTGATTTACAGGCTCACAAGGGCTCTAACCTTTCTTCGCCATCTGCCACATCTGCGCGGGTTGAGGATGAAGTATAACAAATATGGTTTGCACTACAATGATATCATCACCATGATGATCTGCATCATGAGCTGTACTAGTTGTATTGACGAATGAACATTATCATTCTCATCAGTCTTGTTGTCATCATCATGTCCACCACCATTACCCCATGATTCTCATGAGTCGCGTGGTTCTAGCTATCGTCGTTGATGTCGTTCTGCTCTGTGCTATCATCGTCATTGAACATTGCTCTCCTCCCGAAGATCTCTAAGCAGCTGCTGTCCCTAAACCCTTAACCCTAAACCCTGAACCCTAAACCCTAAATCCTTAGACCCTAAACCCTAAACCCCAAAACCCTAACCCCTAAACCCTAAACCTGTCTCCCCACCCTCGGTGGCCTTCTGCACCAGCTTTAAGAACCCCTCCTGGGTCCGATAGTACGGATCCAGGCAGAGCATCACCAGCGAGGACACCTTGGGGAAGTGCTGATTGACGAGGATTGCTGTACTGGTTGATCAAGGGCTTGCCCGAAAACCCTAAACCCTAAGCCCGAAACCGGTTATAGGCTTGCTGAAACAGCTGCAGCCCGGGCTGTCTACCTTACGCCCCGTGCGATTGAAGGAAACTGCTAAGAATGATATATATATATATATATATGACATACATGCAGGTGTGTGTGTGTGTGTGAATCTTTCTATCTATCTATCTATATATATATATATAGCACGCCCTCCAAGACCAACAGATACTATATGCTGGCACCATAAGGTACCTGCCTCCTCGGTTCAGGGAAGGGCTTCAGCCATTCCACAGTCCCAAAGTAGTAAAGTAGTCTCGCCCGGGCTGACGGCCGACATATACATATATATATATATATGAACGCATGTGTATATACACGTGTGTGTGTGTGTGCGTGTGTGTGTGTGTGTATGTACATGTATATGAATGTCGATATATATATATATATATACACAGGCAAATTCACGTTGATGACGCGAGTTCGTGAACTTTGCAACACAACTTCCAACATTTCCAAAAGTTCAACCCAAAATCAACGAAACATCGTCGATTTGCACCAGCTTGTTTTACAGATAGCTTCATGCTCCATCCTCCCGGATGGATGGGTGGGTTGGGATGGGACGGGATGGGACCACATGAAACGGGCTGGGATGGACTCATGGATGGATCGGGCCGTGGTCACGGCCGTCGTCGGGGTCGAAGCAGTCGTGGTAGTCGCAGTACTCGTACTTGTCGTAGTTGTCGTAGTCGTGGTGGTCGTCGAAGGTATCGTTGTAGTCGTAGTAGGCGTCGTAGTCGCTGTTGTCCGTTGTTGTCGTCATAGTCGTAGTAGTCGTATAGATAGCTATCATCAAAAATGGACATCTAGTAGAAGTACAGCATGCATAAGCACATACCATGTAGACCAACAAGGTGAGCTCCGCAGTCACTGGTGCAAACGCCTTGTTCTTACTCTTATGTCCAAACAATAAAAATACGTGCTACTTAGCGGTTCAAGTCGGAGAATGTTACAGATGGTGAAATTCGCTCTTGACAGGCGACTAACGATGTGATTACAGATTATGATGACGGCCGTGATGGACATGCATCTAGCTGCGATGGAGGTCTTGAGGGGATATATACATGTACCAGACGTGTGTGCGTGTACATATACATATACATATGCATATACATATACATACAAATAAACATATACATAGACATATACATATACATAGACATAAACATAAACATATACATACATATATATATATATATACACATATATATATATATATAGTGTGGCTGTACATAACGGTAATGTGACTGTATATGGTTTTGTAGAAGCCCATATACGGAGCGACGTGAAGATACCCGAAGCTCTTGCCAGATTCAAGAGACTATGGGGTTCGGAACGATGTTTTCGGGTCCGAGGCCTAAAATGCGTGCCGGCACGCCTGTGCTGTGCGATCCCAACCGTCGGAGCAGTGGATGACGACGTTGGCCTTCCAATGCCAGCAAACCAGCATCAAACCCTAATCCCTTAACTCTCAACCCTAGTCCCCAAACCCTAATCCCCAATCCCTAAACCCCAATCCCTAGACCCTAATCCCTAGACCCTAACCCCTGAAACGTCAAGGCAGCAGTTTCGCCGGGGTGAACAGCACGGTACCACCATGGCTGGATGCGTCTTACCCAGCTTTTCAGACCTAGTCGTTGGCATTTCGAACTTCCCTCTTCTTTGTATGCTGAAGCGTCAAGTACTGAATCCTCGACTCAAAATCCGTAAATCCTAGGCTCAAAACACCCAGCCCGAATGAACCCTAAAATCCCCCTAGAAAAGGCCCAAGTCATCAGACCTCTAAGATTGCGATTTTTCTTAATCCGGGACTTCTGGGCTCTCTGCCTCTAGCACAGGCAAAACCGACCAACACTGTGACTACCATGACTCAAGACAGCAGAAGAACTATAGAGGGGCACACCGGTATAACTTCATGAGTCGCCTCTACTGCATAGAGATATTAAGATATATGATCTTCATCAACAAGCATAATTATTCAACAATGATGATAAGAACAGCTGTATAACCATGCATAGAATGAGTCAGGCTTCAACCCAATGCCATGCTCCCGTTCCCCAGGCCTGGTTGTTCAGGATCTCTTCGACCACCTTTGGTTGGCTTCGGTTTCGTCTTGAATGGGATGAGGCTTTGCTTGGGCTAAGCACTTTGCAGGTTTAGGGGAGTCGGGGGTCTCGGGGCTTCTGGACCAAGGGCTAAGAGCGTATGGCTTAAGCTGATGTATTGCAATTTTACGCTCGCGATGCCAAAAAATCATACCGTTTAGGGCTTTGAGGGTCTAGGGTTCTGAGATTCCTTTTGAATGAGGCCACCGACTCCCAGGAGAAGAGAATGGCTTTCGGACTCGCGTTGTTTTGCTTCGGGCTTCTGGATTTGGGTTTCAGGTTTAGGGTTTTAGGTTTCGGGAATTGGGTTTGAAACCACCTCGGATCTTGGCCTCATCAAGTCAAACCGCCCTCCGCCTGAAGCAGAAGGAGTAGCAGCAGTCCCAGTAGCAGCAGCAGCAGCAGGAGTAAGTACTATAGTAGCAATAGTAGTAGTAGTAGTAGTAGTAGTAGTAGTAGTAGTAGTAGTCGTAGTAATCGTTGTCGTAGTAGTAGTAGTAGTAGTAGCAGCAGTAGCAGTAGCAGTAGCAGTAGCAGTAGCAGTAGCAGTAGCAGTAGCAGTAGCAGTAGCAGTAGCAGTAGCAGTAGCAGTAGCAGTAGGAGTATCAGTAGGAGTAGTAGTACTAGTACTAGTACTAGTACTAGTACTAGTACTAGTACTAGTACTAGTACTAGTACTAGTAGTAGTAGTATAGTCGTAGCAGTAGTAGTGGCAGTAGTAGCAGTAGTAGCAGTAGTAGCAGTAGTAGCAGTAGTAGCAGTAGTAGCAGTAGTAGCAGTAGTAGCAGTAGCAGCAGCCGTCGTAGTAATCGGAGCAGCAGTAGTACGTAGCAGTAGTAATGCCAGCATTGACCCAACCGGTGATGCCTTCAGCGTCGAGCCGAGGATCGCGCCGATGTAGTCGTACCAACCCGAGTTGGCCACGTCCTGCAGGGCATTCACTGTAAGGCGCAAGCACACAAAACCAGGTTTGGTGGTACGCGATACCATGAGACTATAAACCCTGAACCCTCTTAATACGCAAAAATCGTGTGCCTTCGAGGGTAATGTGATGCAGGGTATAGCTTTAGGACTTCTTTAAGGGAGCTTTAACCGGGTAACCTGAGGAGGTCAAACGGTCAGTGCCCCGATTCGGGGTTCTTCAAGATAACCCTTAACCCGAAAACCTCGAAAACCCTAAACCCTAAACAACTCTAAAACCCAAAACCCCAAAAACTCCAAAGCCCTAAAAACTCTAAAACTCTAAACCCTAAAGAATTGAAACCCTAAACCCGAAAACACTAAAAAGCCTGAAACCCTAAACCCGCAATCCTTTGCTCGGTTTTGATGTTGGGCTTTGGCTGACTTTGGCACCGTTCGACTTTCTGGAGGAGCACGGGCTGCTTGGATTTCGGCAAAAACGCTGCAAAGCTTCTTGCAAAGAAACTGTTATGCTTCTTATAGGTTTAGGGTGTTAGGCTTTTTATAAAGCCAATAACACTCTCGTAATCTCTGAAGCTTAAGTAAGCCCCAAAAACCCAAAACCCTAAAACCATCTTCTGAAATCCTAGAGCCTCAACCCAAGGCCATAATATCCTTTGACAACCCTTGTAAAATCGCTTAAAACTTTTGTAACATATTTTTCAACCCTGACACAACTCCTAAGAAGACTGTGACTTGTGAACCCCTGAAGGAATTCTAGAACAGTGCCTTGAACTTAAAGGAACCCTGACCAAAAAAAACATTGCCTCTAAGGAAGCCATAAGGTAACCTCAGTTTATGTACGCTTTTTGAAGCCCTCGAAAGAACCCTACTATAGCACCCTACCGTCATGGGTACACTTAAAAGTACCCTGAAAGGAACCGTATTACAGTACCCGTAAGGGTACCCTACTCTAGCCTTAAGGGTACCCCGCAAAAGAACCTTGTAGCACCCTTACTGTACCCTTGCACCCTTCCTGTACCCTTGTAGGTGCCCCTACAGTAACCCTTAGCTTGAAGAAGTCTGCTGTGCCTTGAACCATGAACCGACTTGGCCCTCCACGATGTTCCGCACCTTGGACAACGCCAAGATAAGCCCCTAAACCCTACAGCCCTGAACCGTAAAAAGAACAAGAGTGGTTCTCTTGGGCTTAAAGAGACTTTGAGCAGGCTTAATAGGATGTTTACCAGGGTTCATATATAGATGTGGAAGAAAGGCTTGGAAGCATGCCACCAGGTGTTGATGGATCCTTTTTCAGTTTCATAAAGGATTGTGGGGGTTTCTTGAAGCTCTGGGCTTAGGGGTTTGCCAGGTTTCGGCTTAAGGATTTCTGGTTCAGACTTTCGATGGCCTAGCCGCTAGCCGCTGGCCAACACAGTCCTTCTGAGATAGATACAGGTACCAGCCCGCTGGCTTTAGGGCAGCGGACTTCCTAATTACTACACTCTGCAACCGGCGCAACAAAACCTCCAACAAAGATAGCATGAACTGGATGCTGGAAAGCGTCGTTCCGCTCGGACAATCTCAAATTATTAGAAAGGCCTCCTGCCCTAAACCTAAAAGATACTGGCCAATATTTGGGCTCTTGCCACAAGCCATGGAATCTATTGACATCCTACACCCAAACCTCCTCAACCCTGTGCCTGCAGTTTGTTTCCATCCGGAGCTGGTCAACCAAGCACTGTCAGGTGCCTCTGCCAACTCTTGCCTTTCAGCAGCGCCGCTTTTTGGCTAAGATCCTGTCGGCACCGGCATCCAACAGAATCCGGACAATTTCCGCATGGCCACCCTGATGAGCCAGCATCACGGACGTAGTGCCGTCATCTCTGGCTACACTCACGTCGGCACCGGCTTCCAACAGCAACCGAACGATCTCAGCCTTGCCCTCTTTAGACGCCAACATCAGGGCAGTGGTGCCGTCATTGGTGGCTAAGTTCAGATCCGCACCAGCATCCAGTAGGGAACGCGCGGTGTGGGCCTGGCCTGCTTCAGAAGCCGTCGCCAGCGGGCCAAAGCCGTCATTGTCACAACCATTCGTATTAGCCCCGGCTGTCAAAAGCAAACGGACAACTTCCGGATTGCTTCCAGAACATGCTAGCAGCAGTGCAGTGGAGCCATTATTAGAAGCAGCAAAGTCCTTGTCCGCACCGGCTTCCAGCAGCACACGAACCATCTCAGCGTGGCCGTTTTGGGATGCAAGCATCAGGGCCGTTGTGCCGATATCATTGGCAAGATTCACGTCCGCACCGGCCTCCAGCAGCAAACGAACGATCTCTGCCTGGCCCTCTTGCGACGCTAAAATCAGGGCAGTGTCGCCGTCATGGTCGGTTGAATCCTTGTCGGCACCAGCTTCCAGGAGCAAACGAGCGATCTCCACATGGTCCTCTTGCGACGCCCATATGAGTGCGGTGGCGCCGTCAGTGGTGGCTAAGTTCAAGTCCGCACCGGCACCCAGTAACAAACCAGCGATGTCGGCATTGCCTTGCTCAGAAGCTACTATCAGAGCACTGCGACCCTCAGCGTCGCGACCGTTGCGGTCGGCACCAGCGTCCAACAGCAAACGGACCTCTTCCGGATTGTCGTCCTCTGCAGCCATGATCAGGGCAGTGCCACCAGTCGCCCCATGGTCCTTGTCGGCACCGGCTTCCAGCAGCAACTGCAGAATCTCACGGTGACCATGCGAAGAAGCAGTCATCAGGGCAGTGAAGCCGTTATTCGAACACAAGTTTTTGTCGGCACCAGCATCTAGCAGCAAGCGTGCACTTTCCAGGCGGCCGTAACCAGAGGCTAGAATCAGGGCGGTGCAGCCGTCGGTTTCGCAGATGTTCGGATCGGCAGTGGCCTCCAACAGCAAACGCAGAACTTCCACATGGCCTTCCTGAGAAGCCGCCGTCAGCGCAGTTCTCCCGTGCACATCGCGGATGTTCGGGTTCTGGGGCTCCTGCAGCCTGGTCTCCACCTGCAGTCAGGGTGTCAGGTTTCACTTTTTAGAAATGGTTTGACAGGGCTTTGTTAAGCAATTCACACAGTTTAGGGCGTATGAGTCTGGCAAAAGAGGCCTCAGTGGTAGAGCCGTTCGCAGCAGCTGTCACCAGCTCGTCTGCCTGTGTCTGTGTGGCGTCGGAATGCGTCAGCACGACCAGTTCCAGGTCCAGTGGCGAGCTCAAAGTGGCAGAATCATCCAGAGGGCTGCCCCGAAAAAGCAATCTTTGTCTGAACCGATTCGGCAGGCCGTGCAGCACATTCAGCCGCTGCTTCAACGCCCTCACATCGGCCACTTCCTCCAAAGGTATCCTGCCAACTGCCTCCCCTGAAAGCAGCATCCTGACATGCAGCATAGCGAATGAAAACAAAACGATGAACTGCTGGACGCCGATTTAGTCTAGCAGCACATTCATCAGGCGAGGGCTCGAGCTGCTTGAGTAGGACTGGCATGGAGATGCTACCCTCGTTGAATCTGAAGTAGTGCTAACGACAACAGTATGAGGTGTCAAGCCTACGCAGTTGCACTCTGCTGCTACTGCTACAACGACTACAACTATTACAACTCCTACATCTACTACTCACGTAGCAATGGCGTGGTTGTAGGCACTACTGCTCCTTGAAATATTGTTCTTGCTTTTGCTGCGATGGTCAGCATTGATATTTTCGTAGTTGCTCAGGTGTATTCCAATCAAATTTACCAGGTTGCTCGTGGAGTAGTGGCCAGGAACTACGAAGCGAAAGCCGAAAGCACCACATCTCAAGTGGTTTAGGGTTTAGGGCTTCTGGTTTTTAGGGTTTTAGGGTTCAGGGCTTGTGCCTCATCCTCAGAACATGCGAGCAATGAGTTGAGGGTGTCAAGATTTGCCGGCTCACGGCGTCCGCAAGCGCACAAATGGTCTGGATACTTAGAGTACCTACCGTATGGTTTCGACTGTACTATGATGAGATATAGACCTTAAGAGGATACTGTTGTCAGGCCTCTATATTACTCGTCCAATCGGGAGACTGGGTTAGCAGCACAGCGATACTCAAGGTGAGTAAGAGCAAGTCTCATTATTCAGGCGCTTGAAGATCGGGCTGTGGGACTTAATTAGACTTCGTAGCTGCAGCTACACAGGACTTCTGAATGCTTCCCCGAACCACAGGGCCAAATCACTCACGCTGACTTGTGCCGAGCTGTGCATGGTGCTTGCATGACAGGTTTGCTTGCAATAGCTTGAAAGCGAGTTCAGGTGTCTAGTAAATTCCCGTTTCTAATCGGTACACTTGTCAGACCTGGGCATGACACGGCCAACAAACGATCGAATTAATCAAGATGCTGTTGCTGTTGCTGCGCTGCATCGGTTCAACAATTTTGTAACTGCTTTACATGTGCCTCTGGGTATGGGGATGCACTTCGTTAATCTCCCTCTTAACGAATCGTCTTCCGAGATTCCAGGAACAGATCTAAGCCCTAAACCCTAAACCCCTATGTGCATCAGGCAGGGTCCAAACCTTAAGCCCAAGAGCCCCGCTTGCCCGAAAGGTGACCGGCAACTCAGCGCGCGGAAGCCCTCAGGCCCCCAACCTGAAACCCGAAAAACCCTGATGGTTTAGTGTTTACAATTTAAAAATTTAGGGCTTGAGGTTTATATAGGGTTTAGGGTTCCTAAATCCTAAGCCCGGGGCCCCAAACCGTAAGCCGAACAAGCCCAAAAAAGCGCAACCTAGCGCAGGCCGGGTCAAGCCACGGCGGCTCCCATAGCACGCCACGCATCTCGAACGGCGTGGATGTTGTCGATGCCTCTAGGATTGGGGTTCCTACAATGGTTCCTGTAGAGGTTTGTCTCACACAGGATATGCGAAGAGTATGCACGGAGGGAGGGTGAGAGACAGAGAGAGAAGCGGGACAGACAAATAGACAAATACATAACTGCACTTTCTTATGTGCGCACATCAGACAAGATACTTAAGTATCAGCTAAGCCAGGTCAGCCCAAAACCACAATGAAGCGGTGTGGGCTGAGTTAGACTATGCAGATCGGACAAATATACCTCAGATAAAGCATGTTAAATACCAACAGACAAAGATAGATAGACATATGCATATACATACATACGAACATTTCTGGGTAGATAGACAGAAAGATAGCCCGAAACACATTTGTAGATGCAGCTGCAGATGTAAATGCAGACAGACAAGCTTTTCGAAGCCCTTAGGGGTACCTTATTCTGGGGTCCTTATAACAAGGACCCTGCTATTTAGGGTTTGGGGGCTTTAGGGTTTAGGGCTTTAGGGTCTAGGGTGTAATATAGGGGCCTCAATAACTAGAATAGGGCTTTGGTGGGAAATTATACTAAACTAGGGCCAGGGGCTCATATTGCATGCAGAGGCATCTTCTCTTCTTCAGCTCCCCCGGATCAGTTTCTGGTATGCTACAAAGGAGTTTCCGAAAACAGGGGACCCTAATATAGTACCCTAAATAGTAGGATCCTTTAGGATCCTTGTTAGAAGGACTCCAAAATCAGGTACCTCTAGCTTTCGGAAACTCCCACACTGCTACAGTGTATTTAGTATAGTGACGAATGCAAGACTGCCGCGGTGCATTATGCTCCGTGTGATATGCCATGCTCTGTTCACTGTTCTGCGGTGCCTGAAACCCTGTGCATAGGTACATCGACAGAACGAGAGGTAGATGTTGACATGGAACTAGGCAAAGTGTCAGACAAACGTTGGGCATCCAAGGCGCCGCTAATTGTTGTCGCAAGCCTCTAAAAGCCCTAAAACTAAGCCAAACCTGTAAGACCCTATATCAAACTAAACCCAAAATTAAGAACAGAGCCCCTGGGAACGCCTACTCTGCAAGTACTACTGAGAACTTCCTTCCCCTGCAGAGCCCAGCGAACCTTCCAGACAGCCCCCAGAGAGCCCCCCAGAGAGGCGCAGAGAGACCCCGGCCTCCGAAGATCACGCGGCAGTTGGGGTACGCCTCGAAGCCCCCACCCCCCGCCTGAGCTTGGGGTCACGGTTCAGGGTTTAGGGTTCAGGGTTTTAGGGTTCAGGGTTTTAGGGTTTAGGGTTTTAGGGTTTAGGGGTTAGGGTTTGGGGGTTAGGGGTTAGGGTTTAGGGTTTAGGATTCAGGTATCCTCCTGAGCTTTTTGAAAGTCTGATGGGAATAGGGCGTGGCTACTACAAGGGTTGCAGTTCTAGGTTTTATGTTTTTATGGCGCAGGGTTTAGAGCGAGTTTGTATGGTTTTCAGGAATGCATGGCATAGGCCAGGGTTTCGGGCCTAGGAAGCCAAAGATTCCGGCTACGGCTCAAAGCTCAAGACGGGCGTCGTTTCCAGGCCGAGCTTCGACCCTGCGAGGAAACTCCAACACAGCTTGATGCAATGACGTCAACGGTTTAGGGTGTAGGGTTTAGGGTTTAGGGCCGGGTTTAAATTTAGGGAAGCCTGATAAGACGCAAAGCCGACTGACAAAGACCTCCGATACAAGAGACGGCAAGTAAAGCGTGCAATCCCAGGGCTTACGGCAACCCCATGCTATCCACGTGCCCGAACCGCTTTGGTCTGAGCTCCAAACCCTTCCGAACTCGGGCAAACTCCACGGAAAGCTTCGTTGCGTGAACCTCTTGCACCATCCCCCAAAGCTGCAAAGAGAGAGATGACCCTAAACCCCAAACCTTAGAGCCTAAATCCTGAATTTTACAGCTGCAAAGAGAGGCGCCTTGTTCACCCAGGCATTCATGCGCGGTCTCAAATCGATCAGCAGCAGGTCCCGATCCTCAGACAAAGGGTTTTGCAGCTCAGGGGTTATGGGGCTCAGGGCTTGGGCTTAAGCGTTCTAGGTTCAGGTGCTTTAGGGTTCAGGGTTCAGGGCTTAGGGTTTCGGGTTTGGGGTTTAGAGTTCAAGGCATAGGGGTATAGGGTTCAGGGTTTAGGGTTTGGGGTGCAGGACTCAAGGTTTTTGGGGCGTCGGGCTTAGGGCTCATCTGGGTAGACTCGCGCAGCGCTCCGCGCTCCAAAAAGCGATCGAGATGATCTGGAAATCAACCATCCGAAAGCTTCTATTCCTACGAGTACTGTAGCAGCTTTATGGGTTTAGGTTCGACGACCCCAGTACAAAAGAGTAGCGCCTCAATCAGTCACCGATTACAAAAAGCCATCATAGATCCCTGATGGCACCCCTGATGGATAAAGCAACCTGCTAGGGACAGCTTCCCTGGACCCTAAACCCTAAACCCGAAACCCTAAACCCGAAACCTTAAACCCTAAGCCCTACTGCAAACAGAGCCTAGCCCAATCTGCTCCTAGCTTCCAAACAAACACTAACTCAAGCCCAAACCAAAAGGCACAACGCCTAAACCCTTGGCCCTCTAAACAAAAACAGATAGTTACTCTGAGCCTTGAATGGGAACAAAGGTTACTTTGAACCCAAGCCTAAACCCCTAAACCCATAAACCCCGAAACCCCTAAAACCCCTAACCCCCTAAACCCCGTTAAACCCCCTAAACCCCTTAAATCCCCTAAAGCCCCTCAAACCCCCAAACCCCCTAAACCCCCCTTTAATTCTCTAAACCCCCTAAAACCCCCCAAACACCTAAAATCACCTAAACCCCCGAAAATCCCCTAAAAACCCCCCAAAAGGAGGAACCCAAGGTTCCTTCGCGCCGGCGCCCAGGCGGATGGCGTTCAGCATCGCCTGGTCTTCGATGCACTTCTGGCCCATGAGGCCTGGCTTAGGTTTAGGGTTTTACAGGTTTTTAAGGGTTTTTAAGGGGTTTTTAAGGGGTTTAGGGTTTAGGGTGGTGAGTAGCCCCTTCCTTTATAATATGACTTTCAAAGTAACCAAAAAAAGGTACTATAACTAAGGGTCTAGGTAACGAGGCCTGGCCAGGGTTTGGGGGATTAGGGGTCCATGAGGCCTGGTAGGGCTCAGAGTTTCTAGGAAGGGCGGGTTTAGGGGTTAGGGTTCCGTTTAATATCCTTAAATGGAGGTTTAGGGGTTAGGGTCTGGGGCTTAGGGTCTGGGGTTTGGGGTTTAGGGCGTTGGGTTTCGGATTTGAGGGTTTAGGGCTTGGGGCCGTTGAGGCCTGGTACTGGAGGCTCCACGGGTAGTTATCAGTGGTAGAAGGGCTTAGGGTTTTTGTCTGAGGGTTCTTTAGGGTTTAGGGTTCAAGGTAGTCACGACGACCCATGAGGCCTGGTACTGTGGGATGAAAAAATGGAATTGGAGGGCTTTGGGTGTGGGGCTTTAGGCTGAAAGGCCTTCGGGCTTGAGGGCGCTGGGATGAAGAGTCAGGATTTCGATTGCTTTGGATTCATGGCTTTTTGAAGCAAAAAAGAGCCTAAAAGGGCTTCTTCCAAGGGTCTCGGTGGCTGAAGGGCTGGATTCGAAGAGGCGCGGACGAGCTCAAGAGATGCAGCAGCCTAATTCTAAGCTTTGGGGGGGGGGGGGGGGGGGGTGGCAGACGCCATGCTAAAGCCTAAACCCCTAAACCCTAAACCCTAAATCCTAAACCCTAAACCCCTAAACCCTAAACCCCTAAACCCTAAACCCCGAAACCCTCCACCAACGCTTTTTGTATTCAATACTACACCACCCAGGGTAAGGCTCATCGCACCACAACGTGAGGAGACTTGCGGGCTCCCCAAGAAAGGGCCCTCCTGGCCTAAACCCGCAAAAAGCCCTCAACACAAAAAGACCCAAAGCCCCTTAAACTCCTAAACCCTAAAACCCTAAACCCAGAAATGCGAAACACCCCTAAACCCTGATGAGAACCTCAGAACAGTGCTTAACTCCGACCTTCCGTGGTCTGCGAGCAGCGCCAGAGGGACGCGAAACCCAACTCGGGGCCACCTCTGAAAGCTGCCGAAACAAGGAGTTTAGGCTTTTTAAGGGGTTTAGGGTTGGAGCTTAGGGTTTTAAGGGTTCAGGGGTTTAGGGTTTGGGCTGAGGGTTTGGGGCTTCGGGTTTGGGGGTTAGGGTTTAGGGCCTGGGGTTTGGGTTTGGGGTTTAGGGTTTAGGGTCCGGGGCTTTCGGCTTAGGGTTTCAAGTTTAGGATGGGATATTGAGGCTTCCATAAGTATTCTGTACGGGGTTTGTAAGGGTAACACTGTCCTTAAGTTGCTGCTGTTGCGTGTGGTAACTTTTGCAGTTCCGATTAGACCCTGAACCTCAACCCCCCGAAACCAAAGCCCCAAACTCTCGTGACCCCTATACATCCCCTTAGGAAACCCTCCAAACCCTCCTCTTCAGAATCCCTAAATCCTAACCCCTAAACCGCTTAAAACAAAAACTCACTAAACCGATGCCACGAGGCCGCACCAGCTCAGCGCCGGGAGCCTCCCGCGTTTCCGGAAGGCAGCAACCTCCCGCAGTGCCTCTGAGAAAATAAGGTTTAGGTTCTAGGGTTGAAGGTTGAGGGTTGAGGAATTTCAAGAACCCAGCAGAGTAAAGGGAGGCGGTATACACATATATATATATATATATATGTGTGTGTGTGTCTGTATGTACCTATGCATGCATATACATATAATATAATAATACATAGTGTATATATATATATGTATATATATATATCTCTCTCTCTCGCAGTATGTGTATGTGCGTCTGTGCTTATACCGCTAAAAAGCAAGGGTAGTGAATTTTTGCAGTGTCTTGTACGCGTCTAGAAGGCTACGTGTGGTTCAAGACTGGGGGGGGCCGTGGCGGTTCTTGTGCTACTCAAGCTTGGAAGATGGTACTTCGATCATTGAAGGGTTTCGGGTTTAGTCGGGTTTAGTGTTGGAGGCATTCGGCGTTCGTCTTGTGGCGGCTGCGTTTGGGCTTCGCGGGTTAGCAACTGATCAGCCTTGGAAGGACACGAATAAGTTTAGGGCTGCTCTAGCTTCTCCCCTACCACTCCGTTCTTCCAGTGAGAAGCAGACATGTAACCATGCATTTATTTACGTAGGTCTCCATCTATTTGGCTGCTCATCCGCTGCTAAAGGAGCCATGCGGAGCTCGTTCTTCGCGCTTCTATTCGGCTCGCTCAAAATTACTCTGATTGCCTTTAGAACCATGGGCCACAGCCGGGATAGCGAATTCCCGAAGAGGAACTCTGTGCATTTTTGCCAACCAGCAGGTGCCTGATCGGGCATGCGCCGCGGCAGGACCAGCACAGACGGATAGGAGCTACCTGAACTGACGCTGTGGAGGAGTGCTATTCACACAAGGCTTCAAGGCTGCCCATGCCGGGTGCAGAGTTCGAGGTACTAGGGTTTAGTGGTATGTCTGTCGCAATACTTGCAGCCACCGCTGCCCCTTCTGCTACTCCAGCGCTTCGACACCTTCAAGAGAAGATTCGGAGAAGCCAAACCCTGCAAACCCTGATATAACCCTTCATAGATTCATTGCTCCAACATGTATAGTACCTTTGATCGAACACCTTCATAACAGAACTTTTCATGAAAAAAACACCTTGGTAGGAACCTTTGGCCCCATGAACCCGGGCCCAGCGTCAGAGTCGGTAGTGGCGGTTCAGCTCCGAGACGCGCCAGGGGCACCTCTGGGCTTCGCTGGTCTAGTACGGCCCCAAAAATTCGAAGAAGCTTCCTGTAGAGGGCTTAGGGTTTGGGGAAAGGCTTTTGCTAAGGCATCACAGCTTCCAGGAAGGGTTCGATAAGGGTTTGGGATTCCCGGATATGGAGTAAGAAAACTCTGGGTTGGCAGGCCTAGTTTAAGGATGAGGAGACTTCGGAAGCTATACCACTTACCCCTGTAGTTACTTTTTGCTGCTAGTGGGAACGGGTCGGCCTATTCCGGGTCTGAAGCCTCAACCCCAACCCAAAACCCGAAAGCGAAACCATTAGGGTTTAGAGTTTAGGAAACCACGATCACCCTAAACCGCCAAGCAGCCAAGCCGACGGGGCTTGGAGGGGTTCGGCCCCAGAAACAAGCAGGCTTAGGGCGGACACCCTGGACGCGATTCATAATTTCTGGCCCGAGATTCACACCAAATCACAAACCGTACTTGGATATGTTACATGCTACACTTAATCGGCCAGAGCAACCCGCGCAACCCTTTTGCGGGCCCCACGGCATCTTGCAAACCCAATGAAACCGCTCCTGAACATACCTGGAGGCCTATCAAAAAGACCCCTCTGCAAAGCCCTCAAAATCGCAGCAGCCAACAAGCACAACATAGAATCCTAGGAAAACCGACAGCTTGGTGAAGTCCAGCCGCTGCGGGTTCGGAATGAGCTCGGTGTCGATGCCCATCCGAGCAAAATCCTCCGAAGATAATGCACGCAACTGGCAACAGAAGACGGAAACGCAAGAATTCGAGAGCTTATTAGCGTTTCATGGTGTAGTGTTTAGGGTTTAAGTAACAGATAGACACCACTGTGGAGGGGAGAGGGAGGGTGCGTTGTTCGTGGGTTTTTTGTCGTTCCAGGCTTGTTGCTTGTTTTGCATTTCGCTTGTTGCCTGGACGACGAGTTCATATGTTAGTCGTGCTTCATTGCTTATTTCTCTTCTCATCTTGTCAACATATCCCAAAGATTACATGATGTTTCTTGAACTTAGTACAGGAGCACGATGATATTGACCGTATTGACCGTGTTGAGATTCCTGCAAAGCCACCAGCATATGGTCGTGGGTTGTGCACCTCCTTTGCCATAAGGAACCAATCACGCGAGCGAAAAGAAAGTTCCAGAGAAATCAGGATAATCAAGGGAGCTGTGCTGACACTGGTATCATATCCGAGAACAACCATACTAACAAGGGCGAAAGCTGTGCCATCTCTAGATTTGTCTCTCCTTTTGTTGAAGTCCTGAAACTCCGAAACACTCTTCTCCTGCCTGAAGCCTCAACCCTCGAGCCCCGTCCTGGATGGGGTCATAAAAACACCAGCCGCTGTCGGGCACCTGTCGGAGAATATGGGGTCACTATATATGGGTCGCTTCATCGGGTACTAATGGGGTTGCTTCATGGGCGGGCAACTTTTGCGGGCACTATAGGGGCTGCAGTGCGTCTTGGATTAATATAAGGTCTGCTTGCAAACTATCCATAGTTGCTGCTCAATCAACTGCCAACAACCACATCCAAACCCAGGCTAACACACATGCACGAGAGCCCATCTTTGAATCCTGAACAAGGGGTCATAGCAGATCCATGGCGGGAAATGGTAGCACAAGGCTCCGAAGAAAAATCTGACAAAAGGATGCAATGCAACATGAACCCCAAACGCTACTACATGGCAACGACGCGAGCTACGAAATGGCGTTTGGCTGCCACCAAAACCGACCGGAACCCCCCCCAAAAAAAAAGTCGAAGCTCCACGGGTCCACCCGGAACCCCAAAGGCCCTAAAAAACTCAGCTCCCCGCGCCTCCACGGCCGCCTCCTTCTTCAAGGCCTCGAAATGCTTCGTGGCGAAGAGCATGGCCGGATTGCCTCGTCTGGGGGGGAGAGCCCTGGGGGCCCTCCGGTGCTTCCTTGTGAGAGTATCCATGGGTAGTTGTCAAAACTCAGGTCCCTTTTTGGGCACGCTAGAAGATAGGTGCCGTATTGTAATAGGCACCCCCCATAAAGGTTGGGTTTTGGGTTTAGGGTTCAGGGTATCCATAGAAAGGTGCTAAGGGGGTATCGGGTTTATTAAGGGAGGCCCAGAGGGCCCTTCACTCCTTTACAAAGAAATATACTTGGAGGTTTATGGTAGTTATAGACAGAGGGTTCCTTTAAGGGTGCCTACGACATGCTCTTTGAGTAGGGGTCCTGTTTTAACAGCGGTCTTCAACTAAACGTCTGCGGTACCGGAATTTAGTTTAAACCCTAAACCCCACACCCCAAGCTTTGAACTTTACCAACGAATAAAACAAAAACCGAAGCCCTAGGCTCTAAAACAAGCCCAAAACGATACCGTCAAAGAGCTAGGAGAAACACAAAGAGAACATTAAAAAGACAAAGAAGACAGAGAGAGCAAGAGAAAGCAAGAGACAGTCAGAGAGAGGAAGAGACAGAGTCAGAGAGAGAGAGAGATTGATACGTATGTGTGTGTGTGTGCGGGGGGAGGATTCGTTCATGCATGCGCATACATTGGTACAAACATGACAGTCACTACCATATACTACACCCACCTACCCACCTACCCCACATGCATACATACGTACATACACACAGAAACACAGCCAGACAGACAGATAGGCAGGCAGGCAGGCATGCGGGCGAACAGGAGACAGATCAACAGCCAGGCAGACACGAATGTCGGGTCACAGTATCAGTATAATGAGGAACCCAACGGAGTACTGTTGGTGTTTAGGCTTCTATGGTATGTCGGGTCTCTCTTGACGATTTCGGGATCCCCTAAGTGGGTAGTTCTCTACAATAGGATCCTTTATGTAAGGGTCCCGTACTACTTTGGGCACCGAAACCCTACTTTAGAGAACTACCCAGATAGTCCCTTTATGGAAACCCTCCTATAGACCCTTCAAGGAACCCTACTTTCATATACTAACCTTATAGATCCCTTTATGGATCCCTTAATAGAACCCTTTAAGGAACCCTACTTTCATATACTAACCTTGCAGATCCCTTTATGGATCCCTTTACAGACCCCTTCAACAGGGCCATGTGCAGACCGTGGCGCCGGGGCAGCCGAAGGCCGCCACGGCTTCAGAGACCAGGCGCATCCTGGGCTTCCGGGGGCGCCTTTTACATACTTTTTCAGGCTTAGGGCTTAGGGTTTAGGGGTTTAGGGGTTAGGGTTTAGGGTTTAAAAGACCCCAAAATACTAAATGGGAGGGTTAGTATAAGGGCCTTAATGATTAGAATACGGTTCCTTAGGCTTTATGATAGATATAGTGTCAGACACCCCAGAGCCCTATTGACACTACTAAGGCCCCTGTAGTAACTCAGACCCCCTTATAGATCCCTTTAAAGGAACCCTACAGTCATGGTGACCCTTAAAAGACCCTATGAGCCCTAAGCCCCAGACTCCCCCGAACCCCCGCCCCTTCGAGCCGGGCTCTCAGCATCCGTCGGCATGAAGAAGCAGAGGACGCGGAGGTCCTCTCTGGGAGGAGCAGACTTATTAGAACAGGGCTCCTTCCTTTAAAGGGCTACTTGAGGGCTTCAAGAAGGGGTGTACCGTGTTCGTATAGGCAGTAGGATAGTTGAAGGACCCTAAGGAGAGATGAGTACTAGTTATTCAGAGGGCTTTAGGGCCGAGACTTCCATGATGTCTGCAGTGTGACTTTCGGTTTACAACGACGTGGGCCTTGGGACTTCGAGTTTCCAACCCGAAGCTGGCCGCCAAGCCATAGAGGGAATGGCGTCGATATCTTCGGCACCCTTGGAGAATGAAGCGCTTGATGCGTGGAAGTCTGAAGATGTTTAAACGGTTCTGTGAGAGTTTGGACTTTGGCATTCCGGGGTTGTATTAATCTCGCGGACTCTGCGCGGGCCTTCTGGCCGTCAGGGCTTGTTCTGGCTTTCAGGGTCTCACAAGGGGATGTAAGGTAACAGGAACAAGAGACTCGAATGCCAGAAAAATCAGCAGAGCCCCGCTGCAAGAAGAGATTGAAGTAGATGAGACCCCCTGCTACATGTCAAGGACACCAGAGCTACCCACCAGACCTTCCCAATAGCCCTTAATTAAGGAGCAGACCTTAAAGTATAGTAGGATAATACGATTTAAGGTCGTTCCTTCATTTAAGGGCTTTTGGAAGGTCTTGGCAGAACTCTTTCCTTCGTGGTGATGGTCAGCTTGTACACGGTCTGCCCGGCCGTGGACGTGGAGGTTTCCTCCTCTCGGCCGACTGCGTGCGAAGTTGGCACTAGACTGTAGCACACACACCCTCAAACCAAAACTAGCCCAAAGACTATGTAGTACTACTGTTCTAGTAATACTCTTTAAGTACTGCTATTCTAGTATTTAGTCCAACTGTAGTAATACTAGTATGGCGACACTACTATGGTAATACCATTACAGTGCTAATGGTATAGCAACACTCTTATAGTATTACTAACCTTCGGCCCCAAACCCCGAAGGTCTTGGGGCTGAGCGCCGAACACCATGCAATGCGGCCCTCATGGGCAAGACTGGTTTCCTTTTGAATGCGCCAATTGTGTCTAGTATTTCGAATTATGAGGACCCACAAATCCAACTGGTCAAAAGCATCACCAAATTCCTCATGCATTAAAAGTCTTCGACAGCCCGGTAAGCCAACCAATGATCATCCTTCTAGGCCCAACAGGCATCATACATGAGCCTTTACCAGCAAAGAGAACGATTGCAAAGTTGAGTTGTGATATCGAGCATTTCATCCACTGCATTTCTAGTACGGTCATGACACGATGACGATACAGAGGAGGAGGAGGACGAGGAGAATGCCCTTGCTATGATTGAAGACCTTAGCTATCATGAAACAACAAGGCCATCCAAAACTGGTAACAGACACAGCGATCTCAATTTTGAGCGGTGTTCGTCCTGATACCCTCCCCCTTCAAAAAACGATGCCACCGAGTCCCAGGTCCTCGCAGATCCCGAAAATCCTGAAACCAACACCCCCGCCCCCCCCGACCCTGAACCCCTAGACCCTAACCCCCTGAACTCTCCGTGTCGTTGGCTCCTTCGCGCTTTCCACGGCTCCGAAGGGCACGTCGAAGTATTTCGCCTCTCGCATCCACTGGAGCTCCTTCCTCCGGGAGAAAAAAAGCAGCTCGTTGCCTTCTGCTTAGAGGTTCATGGGTAGTTGCAAGTGGGGTTCCTCTAAGCAACCTCCAAGTAGGGTTTTCGGGCTTGTGGCGGGCGGGTGCCTGGATCAAAAGACTCACTGACGGCACCGAAAGGAGTGCTACTGCTAGGTGGGAGTTTCCGAACATAGGGGACCCTAATATGGTACCGTAAATAATAGGATCCTTTTTAAGGGTCCCCCAAACCAAGGCACCCCTAAGTTTCGGAAACTCCAGTTCTTCAGGCTTCTCAATTCCGCTTGCAGGGCTTGGGGCCGGGTTCCTGGTTTTATTCTTATAGTATAATGCGCCCGAAAAGACTGTTCGAATTATTAAGGCCCCTAACCCTCATAGTAACCCGTAAAGATCCGGGGGAGGGGAGGTCTGAGTTCTGCAGGGACCCCGAGTTTTTCATGCCTGTCTCTGGCCTCGGTGTGGTTTCTACTGCATAGGGTTTAGAGTTTAGGGTTTAGACAGGAGCTGCAGAAAACAAGAGGTGCAACTAGATGAAGGCTCTTCGGTTCGGGTGTGCTGAGTTGATGAGAGGGATATGGAAGGCTCGAGACTCCCCAAAGATTGACGTCTGAAAACTTCTAACTAAGACCCCGAATTGCAGAAGTGTCCTCTTGAAACCCCGTGTGAAGTGGTACGAAAACCATGTTCTATTGTGAGAACCCTTCTAGTGACTCTAGTGTACTCAAGAGACGTCTCCAGCTTCGGAGCACCATTCGAGGCCCCAAATAAAAATCAACTCACTGCGCGGATGTGAGGTCCTGAGGCTTCCCTTAGGGATCATGAACTTCAGGCGGTAGGGCGTCATTTGGAGGCGGCCGGCGACTTCGCAGAAGGGGTTCTGCACCAGCAAACTGCAGGATTTCACCTGCTCCACCACGTGCTCCCCCGCCAGCGCACCCTCGAAAGTGGGCCGAGGCAGAGGCGACGCGCCGGAGCCCGAGCCCGAGGAGCCCACGGCCGTGGCCGTGGGTGCCAGAAAGGAGGCGAGGGCTGGCGGGGGCGGGGGCGGCGCTGCCTCCACCGGAGCAGCGCTGGCGCCGGGCAGGGCTCTTTCCGGCGCCGTCACAGTGGGCACCGCCACGGCGGCAGCGGCGGGAGCGCTGGCATAGCCTGCAGGCAGCGGCACCGCTGTCGCCACAGGCACGGCCTCTGCGCGCTCGGCTTGCTTGGCTTCCGTCTGCTTGCGCAGCGCCGTGAGGGGGTCCATGGCTCAGCGCAGCATGGACCCAGGCTCCGAGCGCATCATGCCGGGGCGCTAAAGGCTCTCGGCTAAAGGTGAACTTGCTCGCTGCACTGTCCTTACAATAAGAAGGGCTCTGGACTTCGGTGGGGATACGGCTCGAAGCAGAGAATTCCTGTGGCATCTCCTTGGCACAATACCGATGATCCAGATTCTCCGGACTCCTATGAATAACATTATTGTAATACTTACACTACTAGTAATTTTCGTGTATATATATATGCACACTTAGAAAATTTCTATATCTGTGTGTATACGGTATTTTCAAAGAGCAGCTACTTGCGGCGTCGGCAGTGAAGGGAGGTCTGCTTTTCGCGTCGAGAGCCGCTTTTTCTCAAAGCCAATGCTGCGGAGGGCAGCGCAGGGACCCATCCCAAAGCATAGGGTTTAGGGTCTAGGGTATTAGTTAGGAGCTGCCCCCACCCTGTAATAGTGACCATAAGGATTATAAAGGAATATATTAGGGCCCTATTATACTCCTATTATACTCTTGCAAAGCTCGGAAATCACCTATTCGGTTTGGAGTTCAGGGCTTAGGCTGAGCTGAGAGAGAGCCTGGGCAGAACCCCAGGTGCAAGTAATATAGGGGCCAAAAATAGCTAGAATAGGTTTTGGGGGTATGTTATACCGCAATTAGAATAAGGAACCCCCCTACACTGAGGCCCCTAGATTAGGGATGTTAGAAGCCATCTTCAATCTCTTCGGGTGGGCGCAGCCCGAATCTGTTTTTGGAACTGCGGAGGCCCCTAAAAGGCCGCCGGGTTCTTACACAGCAGACCTATGGAAACCGCAAGGAAGACTAGTAGTAGTCGTCGTCGCTGTAGCCCTTGCGATCCAACCTCTGGAGCGATGGTTGTGGCACTTTGAGGCCTTTAAGCTCGGATTCAACTAGAGCCGCTTCGAGAAATCAGACGGAGGGGACCCTTGCAAAGCTTCCAGGAAGCCATGCTGTCCTTGTACCCGAGACATCCTCAGCCTCGTCTAATGTGAGGCTGGCCACTCTTGCCCACGCCTCGTACCCTGGATTCATCAAAAATCCCAGTGTCGCCCCGGGGCTTGTAAGCTAGTGCCTTCGTCTCAGTCCCAAACCCAGACAAACTCCAACTTCTTGCAAAACTCAGTTCTACACAACGCAGACAGCCCAAAGCTCATCGAGTGAAAGGCTTGCGAAAATCAAGGATCCTGGTCCAAAACCCTAAACAGTAAGACTGAGCAAGATCTGTATCCAAACACCCCCAAAAAACAAGTACCCGCAATAAGTATCCGCAAACTTTCTGGCGGTACCTCCCTGTCTAGAATTGAAAGGACGAATAGTAGACTCCAGAAAGTTGGAACATTAATGTCCTCATGCCCTTAAGGTAAAGCACAGGGGATCCTAGCACCAATCCTCCTAAACCCACGCTCCAACTTGCTGGAGTTCACCAAAGATCAAACAGGCCAGGGCCGACAGGTGCCCCAGAAGCCGTAGAAGATCTCCGGATCGTGCGATAGCCACTCGGGCCTGGGGCCGTCGGGAGAACGAGAACTCATCATCATCATCATCATCATCATCATCATCACATCATCATCATCATCACATCATCATCACCATCACCATCATCATATGTATACATATATACATATATATATATACATGTACATGTAATGTACATGTACATATATATACATATACGGTATACATATACAGTATACATATACAGATACATGTATATTCACATGATAAACTTTGTGACATTATATATTCTATGCTATGTTGTATGCAACATCATATTTAATTTTGCAATCCTCAATTATAGCTGACCCACATATGACCCCACTTATAACTATCCACGAACCTCCAACCAATACCCATCCTTCCTTGTAGATACTCTAAAAGAGGCCATGTCACCGGCAGACGTTGTGGTACTTGTAACCGAGGTCCTGGAGCTCGAGGAAACGGGTGCAGGGTTTTGGGTTTCGGGGCTTTGGGGCGTCAGGGCTTTAGGGCTTTTGGGGTTTGGGGTTTAGGGCTCCCTAAACCCTAAACCCCAAAACCCTCAAGGTTTCGGGGTGTAGGGTTTTGGGGTTTAGGGTTTAGGGTTTTGGGTTTAGGGTTTTGGAGTTTAGGGCTTGGCTCAGGGAAACTTGAAACCGTCAGGAGGGGGATCCTCGCAGTGGGGACTCGGAAGCGGGTGGTTCGGCCTGGCGCTTGTTGCTGCCCGGAACTGTTAGGGTTTCGGGTTTAGGGTTCAGGATTTTAGGGATTTGGGGTTTTAGGGTTTCGGGCTTAGGGGTTTAGGGCTTTAGGGTTCTAGTGTTTTGGGGCTTAGGGTTTAGGGGTTTAGGGTTTAGGGCTTTAGGGCTTTGGGTTTTAGAGTTTTTAGGGTTTTAGGGTTTAGGGGTGTAGGGTTTAAGGCTTTTGGGTTTTAGGGTTTTAGGGTTCTAGGGTTTTAGCGTTTTGGGGTTTGGGGCTTTAGGGTTTTAGGGTTTTAGGGTTTTGGGGTTTAGCGTTCTGGGGTTTAGGGTTTAGGGGTGTTGCATGTGCGAACGAAGTTCTAAGGATCGGACTCATTCGAATGGATGGCCTCCGCATGCGTTCGAGGATGAACTGGCAGCAGCCCAATCTGGTCAAGCCGAACCTGGCACGACGGTTCGAGCGAAGGGAATGGTGTTGGGAGTAAGGCCCTCGCTTGCTGATGCCGATGTCCTCTGCCAGCCACTCCATTTGCCTACGGGCCGAATCGAATAGGTTAACGAAGTCAGACCACTAATCACGGGCCTCAAACGGTGCTCGATGACCAGCTGAATGGCGACGACATGCTTGTCAGCGGAAGTCGTGGGCCAATCCACGACCTTGGAAAACGTGCATTCTGTTACGTTTAACGGCTCTGACACTGCCTGCCGGTAGATGTTGTAAACGAAGTCGCCTAGCAATAAAGAGCGCGAATTGATTTTGCGAGACACCTAAGCAACGAGCCTTCGCTAACGTCTTCGAGCAGTGCGGCTTCCCGCCGCTAAACCTGCTTTCAAGCTTGCTTGGCAAAATTACCCACGGTCAGGTTCTGGCCTCGTTGGTGTGCTCAATGGTCCACCATGCCGGATACCTCAGGTTCGCAAACCGAAAACCTAGCAAAGGTCCTGCTGCGCTCGACCGAAACCTGAGACCAGAACTCGAAACGGCGGTCGTCCTCCACCATGTGATCGACCGGCAAGGCGAAAATTGGGCCTGCGAGATGACACAACGAACGACTCGACGCAAACCCAAACAAGTGATCTCGAGGCCGTCGCCTGGAGGGACGGCCATGATCTCCTGAAAAGATGGTGCCAAACAAAAGTAGAATAAAGAAACCCACTTTTGAGGACAGGACCGGCAGGAAGGGCACAAACAAGGCACAAAGGCAGAGAAAGCGAGCTTGAGCACGGCAGCTACCGTAAAATATATTTACGAGCGAATGGGTGTTCATGTCCGTGACTTCGGCGGGTCGCAGTACAGGCCTCGCCCGCGGCGAGTATAAAATTGAGCAAATTGGTAATGGACAACTATCACTCCAAACATCTCTAGAAGAAGAAGCAGTTCGCTGGTTCATACTTTAAACCTGCCGGAGACTCGAGCTTTCAACTCACTTACACAACTCGGAGCTCAAACCTTCAAGCCTTCAAAACGTTACATCTCGCTAGAGGCTCAAGCCTTCAATTCACTCAAACTCTGCCTGGGGCTTATAAGCCTTCCAACAGAGGCCGGGCTGGAGCCTTCGATTCGGTTACATCCCGCTTGGAGCTCAAGCTTTCAACTCGTCCTAAATCCCGCTTGGAGCTCAATCTCATTCAAGATTTAAGCCTCGATTTTACTCAGACCCCGCTTGGGGCTTGGCTTCCGTCAAAACCAGCTTGGGGCTTAAGCCTTCAAGTAAACCCCGCTTGGGGCCGAAGCCTTGAAATCAAAAGCGCTCGCGGCTTAAGCCTTCAATTTACTTAAACCCCGCTCGGGGCTGGTTCGGATAGAGTGGTTTATGAAGCATCAACGGGACCATAATTTCTATTGTGTGGCGCGGCCCTCAGTTGCGGCCGGCGGTGGCCTCAGAATTGAGTCCATGCAACGGTTTTAGCCCCGACAACTCGCTAGCCGAGGGCTTGATAGGGTGTTGTCTTACTACGGTGTTCGCTTTGGTTAAGAGGCAGGGCTTCACAAAAGTCTAATTCGTAACGGTGGTTCGGGATCAAACAGGGCCTGGGATTCACTTAGGGTGAAGGCTTCATTAAGTTTCCAGGTTACTCGAAACCTTCCACTTTCAATCACCGAGGCCCGGACCCTGCTCAATGCAATAGCAAGAGAGCCACGCCTGAGGCTCGACACGAATCAGATACCGAGAACTTCGCATCGCTGAGCTGCGGACGCTTCCGCTCCTCCAGCGTTTGATGCTCGATATAATCCCTTTGCCATGTCGCGGGTGCCCACACAGCAACGCTACCCACTGAGGTCCGCACGGTGAAATATCATTGTAGCCCGCATACCATCGGAGCTGCCTCGAGGTAGCGGTCGCTTACAACATACTAGAAACTCAAAATACCTTGCCTTGTCCGATGCCGCGCAACTTCTCGAAACGCTTCGTTGCACCGCCCTGTCGGAGGCGGCGTTCCGACGGCCTTCAAACGACCAAGTTGCATTGGAGACGGGAATGTTCAACCCGCCTCTTCATACATGGCGAGGATGTTGGGCCCTGCCAACAGAGATGTTGAGAATAGCCGGACGCACTCAGCACCGGGCCTTTTCCGTTTTGGTACTCCGCCAACCAACGGTCGAGCAGCGCATTCTCCATTTGGTAGGCCTTGATCCAGTCGCACGTTGGAGATAGAATCTTCATGGACAACCCACCTGACTGCCGTGATGCGGCATCCACCATCTCGGAAACCTGCAGTGAAGCTGAGTTCGGCACATCGGTGCAAGCGCGAAGGAGCCGAGGCAGCTGCTGGAAAGGAGGAGCCATGGG